TATTTGTGTGATTTTCAGATAGTGCTTTTCACTAACTGAAACTAATTTGACACTTCAATTTGTTTGCGCTTTGAGCAGAGTTTAAACTTAGGTTTTAATCAGAAGTTGAAGAAAATGTTTGGATTTGAATGCCATTATTACCTAGGTATTTCATGTGCGTGAAAACCTAAGAAACAAAGAATACATTATCCCTATCTGTATACAGGGCGTCCCACGGCTACCTCACACGGAGGGAAAGTATATTAAATATTGAAGATAGTATATTATACTGAAAGAACACATCGTTTTATTTTTAATAATAATATGAACTGCATTCACAGATTTTAGCAATAAATAATTATAATGGTTATCATAAAATATGTTGTGTTAATTTTTTCGAAATTTCACGAATTTGATTCCCAGTTGTAGCAGGCGATTTTAAAAAAATCTGTGAATGCAGTTCTAGTTATTATTAAAAATAAAATGATGTCTTCTTTCAGTAAAATATCCTATCTTCATTATTTAATACACTTTCGCTCCGTGTGAGGAAGCCGTGGGACGCTCTGTATAGTATAAAACTTAAGTCTCTCTCCACATCTGTCTGTATATTCAACTTTTACTTAACCAATCAACGGAATCTAATGCGGCTTTCACAGGTGTACTCTCTGACAGAAGAACTATAAATATCGTATTTCGGTCAATAGGCGTCCAATAAATATAACAATAAATTATTCCCGAAACAAAGTAACATGAGCGTACCGCAATTAGCTAAATTTCATAATACATGGACATAGTGTTTCTTGTAATTTGTTATTTGATGGGTATTAGTCATTTTTCATAACAGTAATATGGTAGCTATCTGATGCCACTTCCTATATTCTAAATATAAAGTTAACTATAAAATTTATTGTAACTGTAATCTAAATGATGTGATGGAAGGTTGAAAAATCTGAAGTCATTTTTCAACTTGACGACTCCGTATATAACAATACAGGGAGAAAAAAACAGCAATTGAGCGTGATAAAAACGAGCTATATTAGGATACCGCGAACTTCATGCTAGGACGGGGATTTTGGGATTTACTCGTACGCGGCAGAATAACATAAGGGGGACAACCTTGCACCTTATGAAATAATCACACCATTCGTAAGTCCTATAGGGTCAAACTTCTAGGGCAAAAAAAAAATTTTAACAATCGGCGACTTTTGGTCCCGTCCAAATCGTCAGTCTTTTGAATAGGAGCTACTGGAGGGTTCACGAAACGTTTATTATAACGGAAAAATATTAATTTGTCGGTTTTTCATAGTGTTTAGGGATTCGAAGGGAAAATAATAAAAAAAGGGAAAAAAATATTCGAACTCGTCAGACATTGACAAGAGGTGTTACGCTTGGGCTGCCTACTATTAGGCTGGGTTCAAGTTATATTTTAATCTTTTGTTTTATGGTTGCGTCTCTTATACATGTGAATATTCGAATATCAAGTTTCGGAAAAGCTGAGAAGGCGAACTAAAACGGACAGCGCATTCAAATATCCGTGTTGCAATAAAGTTGTCTCACAAAGAATGCCTAATTGGACAACAGGGCCGCAATACTCGGCGGATGCTCTCCCGATGTTTCGGAATGCAATATAAGACTGCTAAACCGCCAAAGTCGACAGAGGTATTCCGTGTCGAACGCGTCCCAGATATTTAAATGGCTTTTATTTCGGAGGCAAGTTTTGTTTTATATATAAAAAATATATTTGTTTTTTAATAGACTTTTGAAAGGGTTTTTTCGTATTTCAGTTGTTATGAATAGTATGCGCTGTACGCGGATGTTTACAAAACAACTTTTTAGCTTCTGAGTAATTAATTGTTTAGTAATGAAAAGCTTTTTAGTGAGTGCCTACTTTTTGATTTTTTTCACTAGAAAAACTGTAACTTAATACTGGTATCTGGCTAGAATATAACCAATAACCTTTATTATCCAATGAATAAATACACTATAATACTGCCGTCCTCAAACTAAAGTGCGGGTAAGTGACATGTGATTGATTTTTCAGTCTTAAATTGCATTTATATAGTTTTTAATGCTCTATCGATCTGTTTTTAACAAGTATTCGTATCTTTTAAGGCATATCTTATAAGTTGTTTTTGACACTTAGCCACGTTTTAATATATGATAGCTAGGTGTATTGGTTAAATCCAGCCTGTTACTAGTCGACTTTCAAGTCCACCTAAGAATTAAACCCCTAAATAATTAAGTATTTGAAAAATACAATGCTACGGAATCAATATCCCTCCCCCAAGGAAGTGGCGTGAAGCTCCGTAGTTTCACCTATAATGTACATTGTAGTGTGTTCTTACCAAACATTCCGAATGGAATCAATAAATCAACAAATTACGTAACACGATAATAATGAAGCACATCGAATCGAATATGAAATTGATTACGGAGAAACGGCTCGTACCTACCTCCCTACCTTCTGTGCAACTGAATATTCATAAGTGCGTCCCGTTAACAAATAATACTCGCAAATTGAACGAAACTTACCTCGCTACATCCCATATAATACTATTTATTGTTATATCGGATTTTTCCCAATAGTACCGTCTTTCCAACAACAAAATTGGAATCCTTTTAATGGGGTTGAGAGTGGTCTCCCTCCTCGTCAGGCGTGTTTTTTTATTGTTTCTTCCTATACCTATAGCATGGCTTATGGCCAGCGGAATACCCTACCCACCTTAATTCAAAAAGCGGACTAAAGTTAGTCATGGTTTAAACCATGGTTAATGTCTCTGTCTTCATTTTGCAAAAAAAAAATTGACTGCATCAATTTTATCCAGTTTTAACTTTGGTCCGCAAGCGTCAAAATACTTTAAAGGCATGTAATAAGTATAAACATTTTTTTCACTGCTCCAAAGGTTTGCAGACCAAAGTATGATAATTTACTTAACTCGATATATCGACGCGTTCCTAAAAAAGAGGGCTTTACAGACGGATACACAGACGAACGGAAAACTAGAAGAGTTACTTTTTTCTTTTACGAGCTACGGAGCCCTGCAATCAGTAAAACTGGCCTATAAATTATGTACGGTAACGGATACAATAGAATAAAAGCTCTTTTTTAATTATTTTGTAACCGTATTTTATTTGGCACGGTAACCCACTTGGACGAGTATTGTACCCAAATTGCGAGCGATATTTCGTATTCCACCCGCATCCAGATTGTACTGTATACAGTTTCAGTTCATTTTTGTTTACAGTATCATTTCACAGATCTCCTTTTTCACATTTTTACAAACAGGCAATTACGCCAGCGACTTCTTTGTCTAAAGTAAGTACCTAGGTACGCAATAGTAATTTTGAACAAGTTACAATATTTATCACAAACTTATCAAAATATTTAATCAGAAAATTTCTCTCTTTTCCCATTTAATTACAATTTTATTCAGGGTTTACAACCATCATCATTTAGGGTGAATATTTGTGTGAATAGCTGAGCATTCATGTGGTTTATTAGTCTAAAATTAAAGGTGTGTGTGAAAAGTGCCAAAGATATTTTTTTTTCTTTTACAGATACTTCATTTACATTTCAACTACGCCTCAACTAATTATTTCGCGGAAAGGAAATCGCGGGCGCCCCCCAATTTTGAAACAAATGATGGGGTCATTTGTCGTTAATTGAGAGAAGAAAAAATATTATCCTTGACACTTTGTAACTGCTATTTCTATGATAACGTTATTGAAAATTCTGTAAGCTTCTTAAATAAAAAAATTGATGCCCTATGGCCTAGTGTAAACTAAGGCAGCACTGCATGGTCCGTTCTTAGTAGTCGATCGCTCCCAAAAATGATCGCTGCCCATGAAATCTTAAAAGTCCATATGGCCAGAAACATCACCACAATGGTATAAGACTAATTATAACCCTACAGCCGGCTGTATTAGATGATGATTTCCGCCTGTTCTGTTTCACATTAAGCATTAATCGATTCTTTGTCGAGAAACAAACGGAAAATCTGATATCCCATCTCTTAGAAATAGAACTGCCTTGTCCACTGTTAACTTTTTTTCTTTAGCTCCCACTCTGACATAGGAGTTTGACAAGGATAGTGTTATATATTATACAAAGTAACAACTTTCCGATAAATCGTTCAACAGAACACTCTAATGCTTAGATTGATGACTGGATAATGGAGTGCTTGTATTATGATGTCAGAATACCCAACGATCGACTCTATTAGAAATAGTATGAGATTGGTATCACAAATGTTTATCCCTAGCTAATTCCGACCTATTTCTGGTGTCACCTTTGCATACTTTTCTACCCATTATCGTTTGTTTTGCGATTACACTTTCAATAAAAAATATAGATTGCATAGGCGTTGTGTGTTTACAGACGTTTTAATAATCTTATTTTTAAACACGACACTCAATAACAGATTTCAACATAATATGCACATACATTATAGAAGGATTGCCAAGAACATTAATGCAATTAAGGATTTTATTTAATTTTTTATCAACTTTTGTAAATCAAGTAACGAAGTTGATTGAAATCAAATAAAACATATCATCATTATTATCATAACGTTATGTTTAAGGCTACATTGTTGATATTATAATATTTAATAAGACATTACAATTGATATTTTTTAAAGCAGTGTTTACTTGAAGACGCTACTTTTTTACTCACCCTTACTTTAGAAAAGAGGTTTTATTTTATGCATTGAATCCTACACGCGTGTAGCCGTAAAAATTGAGTGCTCGCACGTAAAACAAGCTATACCCCTGAACAAACCGATACCTCAGACCAAGAAACAATCGATAACTACATACCACACGCTTTCCACTTAAAAACAACAATGCACTCAACATAACTTAATTCACAAGGATTCATAAACCACACGCTTGAAAAGAAAATTCAATATGAATAGTAAAGAGTAATAATACTATTGAGTACACATAGGTTACTGTGGAGTAAACGTAAAATGTGTATACAATAAGTGACGTTTATGTAGGAACAATATAGTTATACGTACACCGCGCTCATCGAAGGACCATACGCATTAGCACAGTCAATATCACAGTTCACTGGTTATGTTTATCTCACGTCACTGCACTGTTTGGCGTTCGAAACTGTTTTTAGTGTTGGATTATGTAATGGATAAGTGTTGTGTGTTGCATGGCGCGAGCGGGCCGCGCGGTGTCCGAATGCAGAGAGAAATGGCGGCTTCAGATGCGCGCGCCGCCCGCCCAACGACGGCGTTAGGGGCGATTTCATGAACGCGGCCTGAGCTTTCATTATTAAAATTGACAACGTTTTGTCGCAACGCCGCTGCAGTCCTGGTAAACAGACGCGTTCGCTTCTTGGCTCATCCTTTCTTCCTATTGTTAAAATGTTACGTAAATAGGTAACGAGAGCAGCAAATATTTCATATCCCGTTTTTCATACTGCCGAGATAAAAATTTAATGTACCCACCAGCAGCAAGGATTCTCGCGCAGACCAGGCAGTAAAAAACTAGCGATTTTTGGGAGTCGCAAAAAACAATAAATAATTCCAACGCTCACACCAATTAGCCTAGCCCCAAAGTAAGCAATGTAGGGCTTGTGTTACAGGATACTAGTGTAACGGTTAGAATATATATACTGATACATACATATGTATAGTTATATAGAAATACATAAATAAAACTAGTTTTAACGGGTTAATGCACGAACTTTATTTATTTATTGACGTTTCGCAGCCTTTTCAGGTCTGCATCGTCAGAATAATGATTTTTTATTTACTTTGTCGAGTTACCTTCGAAAGACTTTTATTGAGCGTTCGGATATTTCATTGGAAGATTTTTAAAGCTTTATTGTCTATGTATGAATTTATTAGTTAATTTAGTTTATTTTAAATTCTTGCTTCGAACTTGGGACCTTTCGAGTAGGTGACACCATGAAACCCGGTGTACAAACCACTCGGCCACGGAGGCCTCGTCACGATATCGTTAAGACATAATAAGCAGCAAATGAGGTATTAATAAACTATTGCTGACATCAACCTTATAACAACAGACTGTTAATTTAGATCTCAGAGGCCAGCCCACAGAACCTATCCATACCTGTAACACACAACAAGATGCAATAAATGAATATGAATATGAACCCAGTAAGAGGCTATAAGGCTGATCATGGGCCGTTTGTATTAGAACCGATGTCGCCGGCTGGCCCCCACTACACTTCGATATAGTGTCCGACCGAAATTTCGGTTTCGGTTTCGGTTTCGGCCAGTTTCGGCCAAAAAATCAAGTTTCGGCCCGAGTTTCGGTTTCGGCCAAAAACGGCCGAACCTTTCGGCCACGCCGAAACTTACAACATCGTACCTTCGGGTCGCGCTCGGCTAACGTCGGGCGCGCTCGGCACGGCTGGCAATATGACGTCGATCGCCTGACTCCGCCGGCAACTACCTAAATCAGTGCGCTTTGCTCGTGTAGACGTTATATTATTTTTAATTAGATAATTTGTTATAAAAAATAAAAAGTATAAGTATAGATTTGTTACTATAAAAGGTTAAAGGCTAAAATGATTACCAAAGGTGATCAATTTGATTATTTTGATTATCTAAATACCTATACTTGAATTAGCCATTCGAGGCTAACTGATTGTGATATTTGTGAGTATAATTAAAATGTAAGTTACTGAAAATAAATAAACATATATGAGCATCATATTTTAAGGAGATTGTTCAAATTAGCCCAAATGTACAAACAATATTGTTTTAAAGTCATTAGATTTTAACGGACACTTTAGTATAATATATTCATTTTAAAAAGGACTTTTAATTTTACCGGTTTGGAAAACATACGAATAATTTTTAATGGCTATGGGTGTAGTAACATTCAGCCAAAGACAGATCGAAGTTGTTTATATAACATCAAAACAAATATATTTTGTAAAGATGGATAAAATAATTTTTTTTTTATTACACTGTGGTATTAATATCCACAATTATATTATCATTTTCTCTACATGAAAATGTGCTAAGACAATTATTATAGATGGTAAGCGACATCATAAAGTCTATTGCCATACATTTTTGCCAAACACCTCCATAAACACATTATAAGGTGTGATACACCAAAAATCTAAAATATGGTTATAATATAAACATAACAAAAATAATGACGCAACTGAAGATGTAGCTGTAACCTAAATCTCTTAGCTTTCTTTGGTTAACGAGAGTTTAAAAATTCTCTCTAATCTGTGGCTCATTCACAATCATCACACAGTTTCTGTCACAGAGTTATTATAACCGGATATGCATAGATGATACCTGATTTTAAAAGTAACTCTTGTGCATTAACTAAAAACAGGCAACTATCTTTTAATCTACATGCTTTATGTACCTGAATCTAATACATAATTTCTGTACTTGGCTTGATTTCCCTAGCTTACTATATAACTTATTTGTTTTTTATTATTTTAATCAAAATCCTCAAAATCATTTAGTGTATATGGTTTGTAGAAGTTCTCGGGGGTGGCCGTCAATAATATTCGTTGCTACAGTAATTTATATATAATTTCGAATCTAGGAAACATTTTTTTATGATTATTGGTCTTTAGGCCAAACATGTATGGAAGCTGAGCAATCTCCTTTGTTTTATTTTATACCACCATCAAAAAATCGCTAACTTTGTGTTACAAGTAATGTATTTTTTTCACTTTATAGGGTAGTTAAATTTTCAAACAGAACCTTTGTAACTGTGCTGAAATTTCATTGTGATAAATCTTTGAAAGTAGAAACCTGTAATTATAGCTCGGCGAGACATTAATTTTAGAAAAAAAACGGGCTTACTAACATTTTTTCGACTTTTTTTTTTATAAAAGGTTCGGTTTCGGTTTCGGTTTCGGCCGAAACTACAATGAAACCGAACCTTCGGTTTCGGTTTCGGTTTCGGCAAAATAACATGTTTCGGTCGGTCACTATCGAACTGTTCGATATAATAGATAACAAGCTAATCAAACCACGAGACAGCAAACAATCGAACGAATCAGCGCTCACACACGCGAGTATCCAAACGACGCGATCACAAGTTTTGGTCAAGTTATGAGCATTTGCACACTCACAAGGCCTTTTTAACCTCTTTATGTGTTTTGTGGGCTAGCCTATCTAAACGCATATAAATCAATCACGAACAGCATCGGGCAGATGGCTGAAAATTTTGCAAGGTTGTATATTAATAGAGGAGCTCGATGGCGCAACTGGTTAGCGCGTTCGGCTGCGATCGTTGAAGTTAAGCAACTTTCGCAGTCATTGGATGGGTGACCAAAAATTTACTATCTCGAGCTCCTTCGTGCTTTGGAAGGCACGTTAAGCCGTTGGTCCCGGTTGCATCTGCAGTCGTTAGCACCCACCAATTGCTTGAGGCCAATCTCCCTATTCCATCCATAGGGAAGGCCTGTGCCCCAGCAGTGGGGACATTAATAGGCTGATGATGATGATGTGTATTAATATTACCGCCATGTCGACAAATAATATAAAAAAAGAACGAGTGTGCTTGTTATGACCACACCACTGAAGAGAAACTTCTTTAGCACTACCTGTATGTATGTATATATGTGTGTGCGTGTGTGTACAATATCTACGTGTATGTACATATACATATTTCATTTACTAGCTATAAGGGAAAGACAGAAAGAAAATGTGCGCGCGCGCTGCTTTCTCTTGCTTATATCCCCCATTGAACTCCCGTTCGCCTCGCCCGAACACACTTTTCGTAACGCGTAACGCATTCGCCAGCTTACCCCCCAAGTCAAGCGTGCGTAAAGAAGTTTCACTTCAATAATGTCACGAATAGTCTGGTTACAGATATACCACAAACATCGCGGTCGCTGCCGTGAACTGGTATTACAATTTTGTACCCCATCTCCACATGTAACAATTAATAAAATTTATACGGTGTATAATATACAAAAAGTATGTTTTTAGATCTCAGTCTTGTTGCTCAATGTATTGCTATGAAATCCTGTTTAATTTAATGGTCCTTCGTGTTTAGCACTTTTGAAGTTCTTTTCCTAATATGTTATAATCTAAATTCCATGAATTACCTATTAGTGGAATTAAATTCTATCGAAACAAAGTTTACGTCTACTACAAATTATAAGCGCGTCAAGTAAAGCGTACCTTAATGTAGACAAAAGGCTCACACTTTGTAACGTTCAGCGTTACCTTTCACCAGCCACACTTTCTACTAAGCCTTTCTTATGTCTACGCCATCCATTACTTCCTCGCCCCGTACCTCTCTATAATAATTAACCATAACCCGCATTGAATGCGAAACCGTCAAATAACATCTCGTAGTAAGTAATATACATTTCTGTTACGCGAAGGCACAGTATAGAGAAAAAAAAGATGATTTTCGTGAAGAAAATCTCCCGGTGAAGTGCAGTAACGAATCGGCGCGGTCGATTCTATACTTCGTTTGCTATAAAGATATCAATATGGAGATATAAGAATTTATGATATGAATACTCTTTATTCGTTGGAATAGAAATTGGAGCAAAGCGATCGGGGAGCATCTCGCGTTTTGCCGTGCGAGTCCCTGTTGGGTCGTTGGTAGATTTTAGGTTGCCGCTTTTTACAAGCTGTCATTTATAATAATTTAATGGGAAGTTTGGTCATTAGCCCATCGCGAGTTGTGCGAGTGTTAATTACTCCTTTGCCATTTGATCATTGCAAGCGAGAGTGTGTTTTGACTATGAGTTGGATTACTTTTTTACTACTAGTATAGTATGTAGGTTCTTCGGTATTTTTGTTTAGTGTTTTTTTTATTTTGTATATATTAGAATAACGAAGAAAACAAGTAAGGTCGGGAATTTTAGTTGCTTCTGGTACTCTCGACGGATTTATGGAAAACAAACATATTGAATGTAAACACAACCATTCCAATATGCTAGTAGGTGCTACTCGTCGCGTTACATAGGCTAATCCCATCACCAACCTTACTTCACGTTACAAAATTAAGAAATTAAAGTATTAAGCATCTAAGTAAAACTTACCAATAACCGTCAGTTTCTCAACTTGGCTAACTTTGCAGTTGTGCCACATAATCATTAAATAATTATGAACAATTTAATTACACAAAAAAAAGGTGACGAAGGGCCGGGAGCATAAACTTTGAAAGTTATAAAAATTAATTCAAAAATTGGTAAGTACATCGTTCATT